GCTTTCACTATTTTTTCTTTCTTTCTTTCTTTCTTTCTTTCTTTCTTGATGCTCCCGCCTCAGCCTTTCTTTCTTTCTTTCTTTCTTTCTTTCTTTCTCGTGCCTGGACTACTACTGTTTCTTTCTTTCTTTCTTTCTTTCTTTCTTTCTGCATCTATATTCATGAGGATTTCTTTCTTTCTTTCTTTCTTTCTTTCTTTCTCTTTTTTGGTTTAATGTTATTTCTTTCTTTCTTTCTTTCTTTCTTTCTTTCTCCCTCTAATATTTTCTAGATTTCTTTCTTTCTTTCTTTCTTTCTTTCTTTCTAAACATTGAGCAGAATTCTTTTCTTTCTTTCTTTCTTTCTTTCTTTCTTTCTTTCTCATTTTAAATTACCTTTTCTTTCTTTCTTTCTTTCTTTCTTTCTTTCTACATTGGGTGAGTTGTGGTTTTCTTTCTTTCTTTCTTTCTTTCTTTCTTTCTTCTAAATTGTCAAATTTATTTTCTTTCTTTCTTTCTTTCTTTCTTTCTTTCTTCTTTTTGATATCTGCAGCTTTCTTTCTTTCTTTCTTTCTTTCTTTCTTTCTATTAGCAATCTGTTTTTATTTTCTTTCTTTCTTTCTTTCTTTCTTTCTTTCTACTTTGTTGATCTGAAAAGTTTCTTTCTTTCTTTCTTTCTTTCTTTCTTTCTAGTTTCATTGCTTTCTCCCTTTCTTTCTTTCTTTCTTTCTTTCTTTCTTTCTTTGGTTTAATGTGCTCTTATTTCTTTCTTTCTTTCTTTCTTTCTTTCTTTCTATAGATTTGACATTTCCTGTTTCTTTCTTTCTTTCTTTCTTTCTTTCTTTCTACTGTCGCCCAGGCTGGAGTTTCTTTCTTTCTTTCTTTCTTTCTTTCTTTCTCACCTCCCGGATTCATGCCTTTCTTTCTTTCTTTCTTTCTTTCTTTCTTTCTCTACAGGCACCCGCAACCATTTCTTTCTTTCTTTCTTTCTTTCTTTCTTTCTCAGGGTTTCACTGTGTTAGTTTCTTTCTTTCTTTCTTTCTTTCTTTCTTTCTCACCTGCCTCGGCCTCCCATTTCTTTCTTTCTTTCTTTCTTTCTTTCTTTCTGGTTCCTAAAATTTGGTAATTTCTTTCTTTCTTTCTTTCTTTCTTTCTTTCTTTTTTAAATTTTACTTGCGTTTCTTTCTTTCTTTCTTTCTTTCTTTCTTTCTGCTTTGCTTAGTTTCCAAGTTTCTTTCTTTCTTTCTTTCTTTCTTTCTTTCTGGTATCTAATGAGTCCATTTTTCTTTCTTTCTTTCTTTCTTTCTTTCTTTCTTATTTCAAATGTCTGACGTTTTCTTTCTTTCTTTCTTTCTTTCTTTCTTTCTTATATATTCCATAGATGCTTTTCTTTCTTTCTTTCTTTCTTTCTTTCTTTCTGATAATTCCATGAATGTCATTTCTTTCTTTCTTTCTTTCTTTCTTTCTTTCTGTTCTTATATATTCTTGTTTTTCTTTCTTTCTTTCTTTCTTTCTTTCTTTCTGAATATTGAAGTTCCCAATTTTCTTTCTTTCTTTCTTTCTTTCTTTCTTTCTTTTTCAGATGGAGTCTCATTTTCTTTCTTTCTTTCTTTCTTTCTTTCTTTCTCTCAGCTTACTGCAATCTCTTTCTTTCTTTCTTTCTTTCTTTCTTTCTTTCTGCCTCCCAAATAGCTGGGATTTCTTTCTTTCTTTCTTTCTTTCTTTCTTTCTTTGTATTTTTAGTAGAGATTTTCTTTCTTTCTTTCTTTCTTTCTTTCTTTCTACTCCTGACTGCACCCACCTTTCTTTCTTTCTTTCTTTCTTTCTTTCTTTCTAGCCCGGCTGCCTATTTCTTTTCTTTCTTTCTTTCTTTCTTTCTTTCTTTCTTTTTCCAGCTCTGTTGTTTTTTCTTTCTTTCTTTCTTTCTTTCTTTCTTTCTTGGTGGATTGACTTTTCCCTTTCTTTCTTTCTTTCTTTCTTTCTTTCTTTCTTTTTCTTTGCTCTGAAGTCTTTCTTTCTTTCTTTCTTTCTTTCTTTCTTTCTTTTCTTTTGACTACTTTTTTTTCTTTCTTTCTTTCTTTCTTTCTTTCTTTCTATTATTATTATTAATTTTTTTTCTTTCTTTCTTTCTTTCTTTCTTTCTTTCTCTGGAGTGCAGTGGTATGATTTCTTTCTTTCTTTCTTTCTTTCTTTCTTTCTCAAACAATCCTCTCACCTCTTTCTTTCTTTCTTTCTTTCTTTCTTTCTTTCTCCACCATGCCTGGCAAATTTTTCTTTCTTTCTTTCTTTCTTTCTTTCTTTCTCATGTTTGCCATGCTGGTCTTTCTTTCTTTCTTTCTTTCTTTCTTTCTTTCTTGGCCTCCCAAAGTGCTGATTTCTTTCTTTCTTTCTTTCTTTCTTTCTTTCTAAGCTATTTTCTTGTAAACTTTCTTTCTTTCTTTCTTTCTTTCTTTCTTTCTTCACTTATATGCTAAGGCTTTTCTTTCTTTCTTTCTTTCTTTCTTTCTTTCTTTCTTTTTCTTTTCTCCAGTTTCTTTCTTTCTTTCTTTCTTTCTTTCTTTCTTCCATTTTGATTTATCTGTTTTCTTTCTTTCTTTCTTTCTTTCTTTCTTTCTTTTATAGGTTGCTCTAGGTTTTCTTTCTTTCTTTCTTTCTTTCTTTCTTTCTGTTTCAACACTCTACCAGTTTTCTTTCTTTCTTTCTTTCTTTCTTTCTTTCTTTATAGGATAATTGCTTAATTTCTTTCTTTCTTTCTTTCTTTCTTTCTTTCTGACAGTGTTACAGTTTTTGTTTCTTTCTTTCTTTCTTTCTTTCTTTCTTTCTGAGGAAAAGAAGAGTCTATTTTCTTTCTTTCTTTCTTTCTTTCTTTCTTTCTAGGGGGTGGCAATGGAGGGTTTCTTTCTTTCTTTCTTTCTTTCTTTCTTTCTTCCCTTTTACTGTCAGATGTTTCTTTCTTTCTTTCTTTCTTTCTTTCTTTCTAAACAGGTAAAAACCATTTTTTCTTTCTTTCTTTCTTTCTTTCTTTCTTTCTCTTCCATCCCGGTATTCCATTTCTTTCTTTCTTTCTTTCTTTCTTTCTTTCTTTCAGGGAATTGCCTTTAGTTTCTTTCTTTCTTTCTTTCTTTCTTTCTTTCTAATTCTCTTTGTTTTCCTTTTTCTTTCTTTCTTTCTTTCTTTCTTTCTTTCTTGAAGGGTATTTCCACTAGTTTCTTTCTTTCTTTCTTTCTTTCTTTCTTTCTAGCACCTGAAAAATATTGTTTTCTTTCTTTCTTTCTTTCTTTCTTTCTTTCTAGAAACCCACTGTTATTTGTTTCTTTCTTTCTTTCTTTCTTTCTTTCTTTCTTTATGTGGTTGCTTTCAAGTTTCTTTCTTTCTTTCTTTCTTTCTTTCTTTCTCTATGATGTGTCTTGGCATTTTCTTTCTTTCTTTCTTTCTTTCTTTCTTTCTCTTAGCTTCTTGAATCTGTTTTCTTTCTTTCTTTCTTTCTTTCTTTCTTTCTAGACAATTTGCAGCCAATATTTCTTTCTTTCTTTCTTTCTTTCTTTCTTTCTTACCTCCCCTTCTGGGACTTTTCTTTCTTTCTTTCTTTCTTTCTTTCTTTCTAGTTACACATGTCCTTGAGTTTCTTTCTTTCTTTCTTTCTTTCTTTCTTTCTCCATTGTTCAGAATGGGTATTTCTTTCTTTCTTTCTTTCTTTCTTTCTTTCTCTTTCTTCTACACTCTCCATTTCTTTCTTTCTTTCTTTCTTTCTTTCTTTCTTTTCAGCTCTTGTATTTTTTTTCTTTCTTTCTTTCTTTCTTTCTTTCTTTCTATTTTCTATTTCTTTGCTGTTTCTTTCTTTCTTTCTTTCTTTCTTTCTTTCTTTTATAATTTCTCAGTGAATTTCTTTCTTTCTTTCTTTCTTTCTTTCTTTCTCAGATTATTGTAACATCTGTTTCTTTCTTTCTTTCTTTCTTTCTTTCTTTCTTTTGTTACTCAGTCTGAGATTTCTTTCTTTCTTTCTTTCTTTCTTTCTTTCTATTGAAGTCAGGATATTCTTTTCTTTCTTTCTTTCTTTCTTTCTTTCTTTCTAAATCTTTTGTCTTAGCGGTTTCTTTCTTTCTTTCTTTCTTTCTTTCTTTCTGGGGCACTGCCTCATTGCTTTTCTTTCTTTCTTTCTTTCTTTCTTTCTTTCTCAGCCTTTCTTGAACCTGGTTTCTTTCTTTCTTTCTTTCTTTCTTTCTTTCTTTAGGTAAGGGTAGAAGTTTTTCTTTCTTTCTTTCTTTCTTTCTTTCTTTCTAGGCTGGGAGTGGGAGGGTTTTCTTTCTTTCTTTCTTTCTTTCTTTCTTTCTGACACTGTGTGTGGCAGAGTTTCTTTCTTTCTTTCTTTCTTTCTTTCTTTCTGTGAAAGTCCCAACTCTCCTTTCTTTCTTTCTTTCTTTCTTTCTTTCTTTCTTGGGGGAAAGCCCTCATTTTTTCTTTCTTTCTTTCTTTCTTTCTTTCTTTCTCCACACGGTCTCCACCAACTTTCTTTCTTTCTTTCTTTCTTTCTTTCTTTCTGAAGGTCCCAGCTCCAACTTTTCTTTCTTTCTTTCTTTCTTTCTTTCTTTCTTAGGGTTCTTTGTTACAGCTTTCTTTCTTTCTTTCTTTCTTTCTTTCTTTCTGCCTTTGCTGACAGGGGGTTTTCTTTCTTTCTTTCTTTCTTTCTTTCTTTCTTGACTAAAAGACTCTGTCTTTTCTTTCTTTCTTTCTTTCTTTCTTTCTTTCTGAAAATCATAGTTTTGCTATTTCTTTCTTTCTTTCTTTCTTTCTTTCTTTCTCCCCTTGGCATTTTCAGTTTTTCTTTCTTTCTTTCTTTCTTTCTTTCTTTCTGAGGCAAAGAGAAATCCCATTTCTTTCTTTCTTTCTTTCTTTCTTTCTTTCTCCCTAACCAGTCTGCTTCTTTTCTTTCTTTCTTTCTTTCTTTCTTTCTTTCTCATGTTCAAGGTTTTCAGTTTTCTTTCTTTCTTTCTTTCTTTCTTTCTTTCTCATCTTTCCAGAATATCACTTTCTTTCTTTCTTTCTTTCTTTCTTTCTTTCTTTGAGACAAGGTCTTACTTTTTCTTTCTTTCTTTCTTTCTTTCTTTCTTTCTTGGCTTACTACAGCCTTAATTTCTTTCTTTCTTTCTTTCTTTCTTTCTTTCTCTCCCAAGTAGCTTGGACCTTTCTTTCTTTCTTTCTTTCTTTCTTTCTTTCTATTTTTTGTTTTTGTTGGGTTTCTTTCTTTCTTTCTTTCTTTCTTTCTTTCTTGGTCTCAAACTTCTGGCCTTTCTTTCTTTCTTTCTTTCTTTCTTTCTTTCTGTATTACAGGCGTGAGCCATTTCTTTCTTTCTTTCTTTCTTTCTTTCTTTCTGGTGTTCTTCCCTCTCTCTTTTCTTTCTTTCTTTCTTTCTTTCTTTCTTTCTTGCTGGAGTGAAGACCACTTTTCTTTCTTTCTTTCTTTCTTTCTTTCTTTCTGGCTTCCACTGCTATCTGTTTTCTTTCTTTCTTTCTTTCTTTCTTTCTTTCTATAAAAGTGATGAGGTTTCTTTCTTTCTTTCTTTCTTTCTTTCTTTCTTTCTACAAGATATCTTTTTGTGTTTTCTTTCTTTCTTTCTTTCTTTCTTTCTTTCTGCCCAGGCTGGAGTGCAACTTTCTTTCTTTCTTTCTTTCTTTCTTTCTTTCTAGGCTTAAGTGATTCTCCTTTTCTTTCTTTCTTTCTTTCTTTCTTTCTTTCTACCTGCCACCATGCCCAGCTTTCTTTCTTTCTTTCTTTCTTTCTTTCTTTCTAGAGATGGGGTTTCACCATTTTCTTTCTTTCTTTCTTTCTTTCTTTCTTTCTGGCGATCTGCCCACCTTGGTTTCTTTCTTTCTTTCTTTCTTTCTTTCTTTCTCAGGCACAGCCACCATGCCTTTCTTTCTTTCTTTCTTTCTTTCTTTCTTTCTTCCTTTTTTTTTTTTTTTTTTTCTTTCTTTCTTTCTTTCTTTCTTTCTTTCTTGGAGTGCAGTGATGCGATTTTCTTTCTTTCTTTCTTTCTTTCTTTCTTTCTAAGTGATTCTCCTTCTCAGTTTCTTTCTTTCTTTCTTTCTTTCTTTCTTTCTAACACGCTCAGCTAATTTTTTTCTTTCTTTCTTTCTTTCTTTCTTTCTTTCTTTGGCCAGGCTGGTCTTGATTTCTTTCTTTCTTTCTTTCTTTCTTTCTTTCTTCCCAAAGTGTTGGGATTCTTTCTTTCTTTCTTTCTTTCTTTCTTTCTTTCTTTTTTCCTCCTCAATATCTTTTCTTTCTTTCTTTCTTTCTTTCTTTCTTTCTTGTAGGTGGTCAGATTCCCTTTCTTTCTTTCTTTCTTTCTTTCTTTCTTTCTTGGTAATAACTGGATGGTGTTTCTTTCTTTCTTTCTTTCTTTCTTTCTTTCTTGCCTTTTTCAGCGGGCTCTTTCTTTCTTTCTTTCTTTCTTTCTTTCTTTCTTCCTGAGAGCTGGGTAGAGTTTCTTTCTTTCTTTCTTTCTTTCTTTCTTTCTTCTGATATTGCAAACCCACTTTCTTTCTTTCTTTCTTTCTTTCTTTCTTTCTAGTCTTCCGATCTGACTCTTTTCTTTCTTTCTTTCTTTCTTTCTTTCTTTCTCACTCTCCAGATCATGATGTTTCTTTCTTTCTTTCTTTCTTTCTTTCTTTCTGGGGGTGTGGCCATGGAGGTTTCTTTCTTTCTTTCTTTCTTTCTTTCTTTCTTCTCCTTTTGCTCTCAGATTTTCTTTCTTTCTTTCTTTCTTTCTTTCTTTCTGAAAGAGGTAAAAATCATTTTTCTTTCTTTCTTTCTTTCTTTCTTTCTTTCTTATGGAACAGCAGTTATAGTTTCTTTCTTTCTTTCTTTCTTTCTTTCTTTCTGGGGACCTCCCTGGCTCTCTTTCTTTCTTTCTTTCTTTCTTTCTTTCTTTCTCCCTGTCTTGAGCATCCTCTTTCTTTCTTTCTTTCTTTCTTTCTTTCTTTCTGTAGGTTACTGGATGCCTATTTCTTTCTTTCTTTCTTTCTTTCTTTCTTTCTAGGTTCTGCAAGGCCCTCATTTCTTTCTTTCTTTCTTTCTTTCTTTCTTTCTGCCCTGTCCTGAGCTTCTGTTTCTTTCTTTCTTTCTTTCTTTCTTTCTTTCTACCCTCAGCCTTCCAATTCTTTCTTTCTTTCTTTCTTTCTTTCTTTCTTTCTACTCCTGGAGCTCCTTGAGTTTCTTTCTTTCTTTCTTTCTTTCTTTCTTTCTTCCCACTCATGCTGGGATGTTTCTTTCTTTCTTTCTTTCTTTCTTTCTTTCTGGGTGCCGGCAGAGGAGGGTTTCTTTCTTTCTTTCTTTCTTTCTTTCTTTCTTGCAGGAAACAGAGTCTATTTTCTTTCTTTCTTTCTTTCTTTCTTTCTTTCTCCTTAAGGGGATTTCAGAGTTTCTTTCTTTCTTTCTTTCTTTCTTTCTTTCTTGGAACATGTAAAATAGATTTTCTTTCTTTCTTTCTTTCTTTCTTTCTTTCTACTATACTCTAATCTCCA